TTTGCACTGACTATTCCCTCTGCCTAGAATAATCTTTTCCCAATACTTCCAAGTCTCACTGCTTACTTTATTCAGATATCTGTTCAGTTTTCTCTTCATCAAAGAGACCTTCCCTGACCACACTTATGTAAAATAGTGCCACCTATTTTCTATCTCACTAATGATGGTTAATTTTCCTCTAAGGCACTTTAAAACCATCTGGCATACTACATTTTGTGTTAGAAGGGAATCCCTGAATTGTGTTACTGGATGTGGAGAAAATCTCCTGGACTATTATAACAATGAGGAGGCAGAATACTGGCAGGAATAAGGAGGACTGGGCAGAGGCACTGGGGAAGAAGGTTGTGGTTTATGGAAAAGAGCTTTCTCTCTGTGGGCAGAGCCTGGTCCTGCCAGACAACCAGCTCTCAAGGCCACCAAATTACTTTAATGACTCTGAAAGGGGTTAGCAGAAAGGTGGGGAGAGATTTGCAGACTTGTATTTTTTTTTGCATATGACAGAAGTGGAATTTTCAGTCACTGTTAGCATTACTTTCCTCCAGTCTTTGCCATGTTGAACTATCCCAATGCTCAAACGGCAGGGTTTCCACACAACACAGCAGGTATCCCAATGGTCTAGGGCAATTCCCTGAGGCCACACTCTTTTCTTATCCCCTTCTTCTGAGGCAATGGTTGCAACTGAGAACAGTGAGTTGTAAATGCCAGAAGACATCACAAGTCTTGGAGCTGGCGCTGGGCCCACCACGGCTTCCCTCCAAATGCCTGGCTTCCCTAAAGCTGAATGCCTGGTCTCAGCTTATGAAAGCAACACTCTGGCAGAGAGCACTTTGAAAATCTGCACCCAAACTACAATTTCAGGGATTTGAGAAACCACAGAAATAGCTTTTTCTTTCCATTTCCAAAAGTAGCAAAATGGAGGGTATTTTTAAGGGTAAAGAGCTTTTCTGATTAAATGGCTCGTTTGCTAACCCTACTTATTGACACCAGAGCCAGTATTAATTGTCACAATCCCCAGACAGGATTAAAAGTAGGGGAAGTATGTTCTGTGTACCTTCCCACCCTGGAAACTCTCTCCAACTCAGTTCTCTCATTGTCAACCAGGAGGCCTACTTAAGGATATTGACTTTGTTTTCTCTCTGAAATATGTTTTAGCTCTGCAGGAATGTGAAGGCTACCACGAGCCAACAGGAGGATAGAAGTAGAAAGTGGGAGCAAACTTAAATCAGATGCTAAGGAGAGCAAGACCCATAGGCCAAAACTTTGTCAGTGAAGCAAAACTAGGACAGGGGCTATGCTGGAGTTAGAGCAAGAAGCATTCACTTGGGGAACTGGGATACACAAGAATGATTCATGGGCAAATAAATATAAGATCAAAGTGGGTAAAGGGTTGAACGGATTATGTTTTGGGGTAAGGCATAGGAAAAAGGGTATGTATGGATTGGTTTGAACGAGTTTCCTGCCTTGTATATTTGTTATGTGGTGGGGGAGGGGAGTCCTCTTTGGAAAACTAAAGACTCCTGGACATTAGTTGCACTTCTACTGTTCTTACAGGGAAAACTAACATTTACTGAGCAGTTTCTCTTTGATAAGCAAGGGCTTTGCTTGCATTATTTTACTGAATTCTTGCAACCATGGTGTAAGCGCTGTTTACCCTCATCACTTGTTTAAACTTACAGAGTGATGTGTATTGAATCCAGGTTTTGAATCCAACTCTGGCTGATTCTAGAGACAACACCCACTCTAAACAGCCATGTGGGCTCCATATGGTAGAGTGCTGGATTAATATATAGCCTGCATTTGACATAGAGCAACACTCCCTAATGTCTAAGTGCATAAAGTGGGACCTCCCCAAAACCCTCCCTCATGTAATGCTGTTCCTCTGAGACTTTCAATGATTCTTATGGTTCCCCAGGTTCTGTGATGATAACCTATCCTCTTTGATATCTCAGGATTTAATGCTCCCAGGTTTTGTGATGATAATTTAACCTCTTCGATATCTCAGAATTTTATGAACTAGCCTTGGCCTGCAGGATCTGGTCTCTGGAATAATAGCTCGGGGATGAATCTAATATACCTTTTAATCCAATCCAGATACAGCTAAAGGAATCAGCCTTAAATAAGTATCACCATAAAGAAAACTATTACAAAGGCATGGGTGAGGACAATTGTATTATAAATTTTATTATTGCCTTAATAACATGCCAGGTTGACCAAATTTTCCACTAGGATTCCTGAATCCCCCATAATTGTGCCTAAGGGACACAATAATGAAAGTTCCTGAAGGTATTTCTCCTAATTATTGGAGTACAATGCATAACTTCATTTCTAATTCCCTAAACTCTATTCTGGAATACGTCAATATTGAATCAATGTTTGCCTTGGGTCTCCTCAGCCCAGGGACTCATGCATCACAACATCATTTGTCGGCATTCACTCCTTCAGCATGGAATCACCGAGCATCTACTCTGGGCCATGCCTTGGGATTAAGTGAACAGGTCAGGCATTGTCCCTTGGAAAATTTATAGTTCAGAGTGGCAGCCAAGCCATGCTGCAGTGTCGAGAGTACTAAACGTGAAAGAGTCTCTTTCTACCTCCTGTAAGCTGCACCTTCCAGCCATATTTTTACTATTAATAAAAATCCTATATGGTCTTTTACTCAAATTGAAACTGCTCTGGAGTCTCTCTTAGCTAAAGACTGTTCTTGAAAGATTTGAGCTTCCTGGCTATAATGCATTTCATTTTAATATGGAGTAAATTTATTTCTGCTTCTGTATATTCCTACTATGCATACAGTTTTCCCTTCCAGGAAAGCTTTCCTTCTACTTTGTTTATCTAATTCTTATCTTCCTGGAAAGTCCAGCTCAGGTTTCTTTCTTTTCTAAACTGCTCTGTGACTGACACAAGGGAGTTCTTTACCTAAACTCTGAACTGTTAGGGTCAGAAATTCAGGGCAATAATTCTAAATGGTCTCTGTAATAAGTGGTACTCAATCAATATTTGTTGAATGAATGAATGAACAAAAAGGATACTATGGGCCCTGACTGTAATCTAAATGAATCAATTTGTCCTCAGATGCATTCCTTGCCCTTGCCCCATTCAACTCTGTATCATAGGGAGGTTGGCCCCTGGTGGCTGGCATTTCCCAGGTGACTTCTGCTGGGTTCAGCAGCACTGACAGGAGATTGGGGTGGCAGGGTAAAGCGAGGGTACCCTTCTTCTGTCTGGCTCCAGGTGGCATTTCAAGCAACAGCTGTGTTTCCTCCCTGCCTCTAGTTCTTGATGGGCCAGCCCACTGAGGTTCTTGGGACCCTGAGCCTTAGTAATGTCACCTTCTACATTTGTCTCTCCAGCCCAGCACTGTGAGATACATAATCTGGGTTTTAATACTCTAGTAGCCACTTTTAAAAAGTCAAAATTAAAGGGTGAAATAAATTTAAATACTATATTTTACTTAACCCAATACATTCAACATAAAATTTCTCTGTGTATTTAATACAAAAACTATTAAAGAGCTATTTTTCATTCTCTTTTTTAATATTAATTCTTCACAATCTGGCAGGTATTTTATACTAAGAACACATCTTAGTTCAGACTAGCCACATTTCAAGTGCTCAGCAACCAAGTGTGTCTGGCTACCATATTGGACAGCACAGTTCTAGCCTACTGGCGAGAGTGGTTTCCTGCTGCTGCTGGTTTTCAGGTTGCTTCATCACTACTCCTTGTTTTGTTTTTTTAGCAATGATATCACTTGTGTAACTAATTTTCTGAATTAAAAGTCCTCCATTTTAAATACTGGAAGCAGTTTCTGGGTTTTTTTAGAGACTGACTAAAACAAATTTACTAACAATACTCAAGGAGGAATATCAGATGGTCAGCCATGGAAGAGAGAAAAGGGGAGTCAAAAAAAAAATACTAAAAATCATACGGAACCACAAAAGGCTCTGAATAAATAAAGCAATCTTGATCAAGCAGAACAAAACTGGAGGTATAACACTCCCTGATTTCAAATTACATTACAAAGCTATGGTAATCAAAACAGCATGTTACTGGCATAAACACAGACACACAGACCAATGGAACAGATTTGAAAGCCTAGAAATAAACCCACACACATACTGTCAACTAATATTTGACAAGGAAGACAAGACAACTCAATGGAGAAAGGAAATCCTGCTGTTTGCCACGACATGGATGAACTATGTCCTCTGTGGACATTATGTCCAGTGATATAAGCCAGACAAAGAAAGTCAAATACTGCATGATCTCACTTATATGTGGAATCTAAAAGAAGTCACATTCATAATAACAGAGAGTAGTATGGTAGTTTCTAGGGGCTGGGGGGTAGAGGAAATAGGGAGATGTTGGTCAAAGGGTACAAACTTTCAGTTGTAAAATGAGTACATTCTGGTGATCTAAAGTGCAGCATGATGACTCTAGATAGTAATGATGTTATTTATTGTATTATATACTTGAACTTTACTTGAAGAGAGTAGATCTCAGGTGTTTTCACCCTAAAATAAAGGAGGGTAACTCTGCAAGGTGACAGATATGTTATTTGCTTGACCGTGGTAATCAAATCACAATGTACGCATATATCAAAACATCATGTTGTACAAACTAAATACAGACAAGTTTTATCTGTTACTCATACCTCAAGAAAGCTGTGGGTGGAAGGGAAGGAAGTCACAGAAACAAAACTTAAACGGTGACCACCAAAGCACTGTCCAGAGAGAGCAATTTCTGTCAATCCCATTCTTAGAATTATGATGAAAAACATGATAGTCATGCCATGGAAAGGTGTCTCAAATTCAACCAAACACACTTCATCATCAACTATCATTCAATTTATCAAGAAACTCCTTTCCTTCCCCTGCTCCATTGTTGTAATTCCTTGTACCCTAAGTAATCTTCCTTACAGTTTGTCTTCCCAGGCAGGTCTGCCTATAAAATAGGAAGCACAAGCTATGCAGATTCAAAAACATGGTCTTTCTCTTGGTTACCTCACTGGGCACTTGCTTTAAGGTGTCCTCACCACACAGCACCCTGCTGCACGCGAATGGCAGACCCTGGCAGGAGTCTACTGCAGTGCTTCCAGTCAGAGACTTGACCCGGCAGGTCTTAACTCTCTAGGCCTCCACCACCTCTTCTTCTGTGAAATAGGAGGAGATGGAGTCTATTTAGCTTTGATGGCCATAGAGAGCTGGAAGGAACTGTAGTGTCTACTGGTCCAGATCCATATTTTTTACAGATGGGGATAATGAGGTCCTTGGGGATTTAAAACATTGCCCAAAGCCATTCAGCAAGTTAGAAGCAGAACAGAGATTATGACCATGTTTTCTGCTTCTTGGAACTTTTTTTTATATTGTGCCATATATTAGATTATTATCTTAGATCCTAGATAAAAATCTCAAAGTTCTATTTGTCTAGTGTTTAGATTTCCCAGTGCAGAAACTCATATACTACTTGGCCCACCAACAAATCACAGTTTATTTGAAATTTTATGTGTGGTATGAATTTGGGAAATTGGGTTAGAATCTAAGATGCTGCATTTAATATCAGGGACACTTGAGCACAATACACCAGGTTGGTTAAAAGTCCACTCTCTCTCCAAGCAAATGTGAGCCAACCTATCTTTTGCTGGGTGATGCTGAGAACAGTAATTTACATCTCAAATAATAAACTATTTTGTTTAGATCTGAAAATAACATATATATGAAGATTCAACATGACTAAATGCAATAGGATTCATTCAGTCACTGGATGTCTATACTCATCAAAGGTCTAGATAATGAGGAAAAAACAATAAGCCAAAGAGTTCAAGTTTCTGCTCTTATGGAACTTAGATGCTGGGGTAGAAGCCACCTCATAAACAGATACAAAACAATTAGAGACAGTGGTAAATATGATGAAGATAATTGCAGGTTGCCACGGCAGAGAATATCAGGGCATTTACTTTTGATAAGATGGTTAGGGCAGGCCTCACTAGGATGACGATACTGAAGCTGACTTCCAAATTGAAGGGCTATGCAATTCCCCAGAGAGAGAGGGAAGCATATTAGGCAGAGGGAAAAGGCGCAAAGGTGCTGAGATGGTAAGTTCCGGGATTTTAACTGTGCGCGATAAACTAGAAAACTTTGGAATGCAAGCAAGTCTGTTTTGCAGCAAAATAAAATCAGCCTTAATTAGGTTCTGACTTACCACCAGATGGGAAGAGTGGACTCAGTAGCCTGTATGGAGACAAGGAACTGAGTCCTTTTACAGTTCTGGCTCACATATGGTTCCTGGAGGCTTCCCAGAGAGTGTCTGAAGGACATAACAGAGAACAAATAGAATAAAAATAGAGATACTCTTGATAAGGGCCTTAAAAACAAAATGGACTGGTCCTCTTAATAAATAACAGTTTGAGTAAAGAGTTAAGAGATTGCAGAAGGGAGGGTGCTGATCACCCCACTCTCTCTCTGCTCCCTCAGACGGGCCATTTTAAACGGAGAAATTGCCAACAAAAAGCACAAAAACGTGAAAAGCATCACACTAAACAGACACAAAAAGGGTACTTGTTTATGATATAAGAACTGAAATAAGAAGGAAGAGTGGTGCTTCACTTTATCTCCTCTGGGAACATGTGCACTGGGTGACAAATTTTCCACAGCTACAAACACGTCTGTGCATGACTGTGAAAGTGCCCTGAGTATTGAATTTGTGGTTATAAATAAAAGCAAGTAGGCAAATTCATAGGTACAGACTCCACGATTAGTGAGGGTTGACTATATATATATATATATATATATATATACATTAAGCATGTTTCAGGCTCTGTGCCAAGCACTTTATGTGTATTACCCTATTTAATCTTCATAGTAACTAGGAGATAGGTACTCCTTCTATAAAACCGTGTACAAACTGAGATTAGCTAGGTAAATTTCCAAAAGTCATACAATTTGTAAGCAGTGGAGCTAAAACTCCCACCCTAGGATCTCTGAATCCAAAACCCATGCTCTTAAATATTATGCTGAATTTTCCTCACAAATATGACACCTCCCATAAGACTTCATTGTCTGGGTAGAGGCCAGTGGCTGAAGGCCATGTTCTATATATCCAAATGGTCACTTCTTCTTCTGAGCTCTTTAGAGGATGAGCTGACTAATCCTACCAATGAAAGCACACTGCCTTTTCACTTAGCCTGTGTGCCTCAAAACACTAAAACACTGACTATCCAAAGGAAGAGTCGGCAAGACTCAGGTATTTCAGTCTGAACTGTCTAATAAGGAGGGTGCTCAATGCTATAAGAAACTCAGGTATTTCAGTCTGAACTGTTTAATAAGGAGGGTGCTCAATGCTATAAGAAAATTCACTGAATGTAACGCATAGACTCCAAAGTTCAAATCCTTGCAGTGTTTGAGGTGTGAAATTGGCTTTCCCACCATCATTGAGCCAGAAATATCATGTTAACACGATAGGAAATATGAAATTCTGTTTTTGAGGTATCAAAAATCTACAATTATAAAAAGCACCATTTATTGGAATTCTATTTAATGATTGAAAACACAACTGGTCAGGCACTCATTCCTATGTGTAAGTGGTACCGAATAAGCAATGAATGTTTTCAAAGCTTGCATATACTTTGTTCCTTTTCCAAATAGACGCTATAGGGATCTATAGGCTCAGTCCCTGATTAGCTCCCCCAAATTTCCTCCTATTGGCTTACTGATAAAGTGTTCTGTTTTTTCGTAGATTCTGTAATGAGCACTACTTTCATGACTGAATGTTAAACTTAGAATACTAGTCTCCAGCAACTCACAATTCTTGATTGTTCTGTATTTTTCTGTATCAAGTGTATTACATGTCAGTCTCCACTGCATATAAATAGACATAATAATATTTAGCAATATAAAACGAGAACAGTGACTTTCCCCATCTCTCATGCCCTTTCTCATGAGGGTGTGGTGTTCATTGTTTATTGCATAGAGGGATTTGCCAAGAACAATGGCTGCTCAGGCCAGTAGCATTTATTCCAGCTGCATCTTGAATTGATTAAAAACTACTTCTCCATATAAAAGTTATTTTCACCTTGAGCCAAAGGATAAGTTTGATTAAGGGATGTGATTGGATCATCAGAGAAACAATGACATGGAAATTGAGAGTAAAATGATAATTGTGCTTGTCTTCTGAGTTACAATATGAATACACAACTATTCAGGCTTGACCGAACCAAATATCCAATATTTAACTTAAGTATACAGATACTACACTTTTATTCATTGGATCTGGATATTCAAGAAAAATGTAAATAATTAAATTGATGATAAAAATTAGTAGGTTCATTTGGTAGAGATCGGGCACTCTGTGCTTTATTTTCAGTTTGTAATTGGTACACAAGTAAGTAATGTTCCATGTGGATACAATTAGTAATACTCTGAGATAATTCAGGAAAATTAGCAACAAATACAAAATGAAATCCTAATTCTGAGGAACTGAGGTAGAAGAAAGGGTAAGCTGGCTTTGAAATAGTTCATTCATTCCAGGGAATGGGCAAGTGTTGGAGCTGAAGTGAGTTCCAAAGAAATAAAAGCATCCCAGCTGGACTGGATGAGGAACAGACATGCTTCAATACTGTTTCTTTGCAGGCAAAGAGATACGTTGGAGAAAAACTTCCTTAACTAATCAGAATGGTTTCTAACCAGCAATTGGAAAATATATGAACTTAAGTGCCAAGATATAGATTAATTAGCAGAATATGGAGAAAAAAATCAAAGTTGGTATGTAAGAAATTCTATATTCTCATCTACAAAAGAAAACATAAATTTTCTAATCCTTATCAGCACATTCTAAAAAGAACATTCTTTCCTAAAAAATCTGCTTTAATCTAAGGCATTTGCAAGGAGGGTAGGGAAATTTTGTCCAGAGAACAGGTAATTTAGAAAAAAATATGAAGTTGCAATTGATTATTGAATACTAGTGGGCTAGAGTTGTAATAGGGTGGGGGCAGGTGTTGAACAAAACACTGAAGTTTTAGCTTATACAATACTTAATGAATTCCACATGTTTCTAAATATACACCATCACTTCATACCTATGCACTAGTGTTACAGGCGTGGCTCTTCTCTTTCTAATGTCATATGGCAAGAGGGCAGGTTTGATAGGTCATTTATGTAGTATCTACCATAACTGTCTCCTTTGAGGGGGAGGGGCAGGTCATTCTGACTCCCTGATGACTGCCTTCAGCCAAGGAAGAACAGAGGCAGCTTTTTAAATATGTGGCACTCTTTTCTTTCTATTTCTATTGATACTTTCATTGCTCCCTCATAATACATGGGAGCATTTCTTTGAGGAGTTTTAGGCTTGGATTCATTCTTTATAACTAATACTATTCCAATTATATTTCATCGGAATATCTACATGCACCTACATGTAGATTCATGTGAAGTACTTAGTATATCCAGGTTCAGTGTAAGAGATGGCTAAGCTTTAATGAGCTACAGCTCACGTATTGCATAAAGAAATAGCAATTTAAGATCTTTACTTGCTAGTCAGGAAATGACAACACTGATCATTGAAAAATTAAATATTTGTCAATTTTGTGATAATATTGCTGCCAGTTTCATTTTGTTCTTAGTTGATCATTAGTCAAATCTGTACTTAAACAGCTCATCTCAACTTCATAAAGAGTTTTGACTTCAGCCTTAACATATGAAATAAATTCCTGCATGTTGTCATCATGTATTATACATACTTTTCTGCCTTTCTGTCTCTAAAGTGTACAACAGTAGATTTCTGTTGCACTTACATGCACGCACACTTTGAAATTAGTTCTTTTTTCAATGAGGCAAATTAGAATCACACCAAATTTGAACTCACAATATGTCTATAAAAATTTTTAAATGAACGTAAGTCATTCTGAGTTCAGCAAATGGAGAAAATGGTTGAAATGCTGGAAAAAACCATAGCTCCCAGAGGCTGAAATATTATAACAATCATTTTCATAATTGAAATGAATAGATAATTGTTAGATATCAACAGGGAAGATTTACAATTGGCTCAACTAAACCAAAAAATCAGTAGCAATCAGTATAGGAAAATGTACCCTCTTGTATCTGAGGTAAATCCATTTTGTTACTGAAAAGTCATTATGTTGTCAAATTTCCACTCATCACTTATTCAAACATACCCATTTTTCATTCTTAATGTTTCATTGTTAAGATACTTGACCTTTGAAGCTTTTCTCTCAAGCTTATATTACATTAAAAAATCTCTGTGTGCATGATTACAACGAAAGGGCAGAGGTGGAGAGGGGACTTATTTATCTCTCGTGGTTTGTGACTCCATAGAAGCTCACAATTGATTACAGCTTTCTAACCTTTGTCCTACTCTTTATCCTCAGAGACATAGGTAAAATTTCACGTGCTTCATCCAACATGTTTTAGCTCCCAATATGTGACAAACTCTGAACTTGGTACTGGGAATATCTGTGGAAGTTCCAGCCTGGCAGAAAAGAGAAACAGATGGATATTTGCAGTACAATTGCTGACAGAATGTGTGCCAAGGGCCAGGCAAGCACAGAGAGGGGGAGCTCTGACTGTGTCTGGGTTAGGGGAGGCGATTTGAATAGTGGATCGAGGGATGCTGGAACTTTGTATTAAAAACTGAATAGAAATTGGGCAGGTAGACAATGGCTGAAGCACTTTCTAGAAAAAGGGAAAAACTTTATGTGAAATTATGTCAGGTCATGAGATATGTGAGGAGGAGGAGGAACAATGAGACTGAGTTGAAACTTTATCCTGTAGCAACCCATTGAAGGAGACTTAACAGGAAGATGTCACATCATGCCATGCCATGCCATTCATGAAGGACAAGTTGTGAGGAACAAGAACAAGACAGAAGAACCAGTTAGAAGACTATTATAAAAAGAGTCCAGGTGACTGATAAGGTCCTGAGGATAACATAATTTGAATGTATGTAACAAATATTTACATAGTACTTATGTATTAAGCCCTGGTCCAAGCAGGTTATAAATATTAACTTATCCCCTAAAACCATAACATCCCTCTGAGGTAAGTACTACTATTACTATTCCTCTTTTTTTTGACTAAGGAGGCCAAAGCACTGAAAGGCTAAGAATTTTGTTCAGCTAATAAATGATAAAGCCAGGATTTAAATTCAGGCAGTTTGGCCCCAGCATTATTCCCTTTAACCATTGTACCATGTTGTTTTTTATAATAAGTAGGAGTTTATGCCATGGCTTGGGTAAGCAGGTGGATGGTGGCACCATGTATGGAGAAAGGGAAAACAGAAGGCGGAATGGATTT